TACTGTCCTCTTCTTAGGACAGCCAAACTGAATGAGGTCCCGCTCGTGTGACCTCTCATTAACACAGTGACCACTGTAAAGAGCCTTTCTCTAACCCAGTCACTTTTGGAGTGTCCCCTGGGTGTGGGGACAGGACCCAGACCTGACCCTGGCACAGATGGTGAGAGGGAATTTCTGTCCCCATTCCTGTGGGACTCGGAGCATTAGCACTGCCTGTGTGGATGCCCAGACACTGGCCACACAGGAGGACCCACGTGACCATGTGGGGGCCTCTGTCACTCAGAGAGCCATCAGAGAGCCAGCCAAGAGCACAGACAGGAGTCCCCAAAAGACACAGAAACACATATCCCCTTCCCCGTCCTGCTCCACACACATACACCCACCACAAATAAGGACACACACACACACCATAAACGCAGCACATATGCAGACACACACAGGAGGCCAGTCTCCATGGCCTCCCTAAGTCTTGTTACAGGAAGGGGCAAGTGCGACTGAGATGATGGGGTGAAGAAGAGGTGTTCATGTGAGGAAAGACACAGCCTTTCTAATCTAGGATCCTCCCATCAGCTGAGCAGTATCCAAGGCATCAGCCCTTCCCTGGTGTTGGCAGGAGCCAGGGCAGCCAGCAGCCTAGTGTCTTCTCCAGCACTGAGTGCGTGCCAACCTCCTGTGTCCCCACGGGCGCCATCAGCCCAGGCAGCAGAAGCCCACAGGCCACCCCTCACCGTTTCCCACCAGGTCTTCCGAGTTCACTCCAGGACCTCAGCTGCCTGTCCCCTTTCCAGCTGCAGTCCACACAGGGACTCAAAACCCTGCCGCATTTCCCAGGAGGCCCACAGGGATGAGTGGGTTTCCAAGGGAAGGACATGAACCCAGGTAGCCAAGGGCCATCGCCACCTGGGCTCTCTCAATCTTCGCCTGTCTCTTGCCAGAGCTCCAGCCCCTTCCAGACCACAATGGCCCCAGCCCCATCCAGTTCTCATTCCCCTGTGTGGCTCTCTCACACCCGACATGACACTGAGTTCTGGCCTCAGAGACTCCTGGAAGAGCCAGAGATGGGCAGGCATTGGCACTCCCTGGTCCTCCAGGTTTCTGTTCCTAAGTCCACTGGAAGTCTCCTCACCCTGTGGCAGGACAGGATCAAGAGCAATCTCCCCACAATGACAACCACCCTGCTTAGCACCTGCATTGGGATTTTGTGGCCTCCAAAACCTTTTTGTGGACGTGACTTCTTTTCGTGTCACTACAGCTTCCTGTCCAGCTCCATTTTACAGATGAAAACACTGAGACCCAGAGAGGCTGAACAGCTGCCCAACGTCACACAGAGGCAAGAGGCAGAGCCAAGTAGGAACCCAGGGCTCTCTGCTCTCCACCCCAGGCCCCCTCTCTAGGTAGGGAAATTGGGCTTAAATCTGGGGGAGGGGAGCGTGGGAAGCCAGGCCACAGACTCAGGATCTGACCCTCAGGAATGGGGACAAGATTCCTTTGAGTTAATACATGTCATCCCACACGGCTGACCAGGGCCTGGATGTGAGGACCTCTGTATCCTGTTCCCAGCCACAGCAGGTGGAAATAGTGTGAACTAATGAAATCTCACCAGCAAAGCCACCAGTTGAATGGTTGTCTCCTGGCAGGGGGCAGTGGAGAGACTGCTGACCCACACACACTGGCCTCTGGCTCTCCACCAGAGCAGGTTTTAGACATGTGTGGAGGCAGATAAACTGGGCTCTGGTCTCAGTGTGCTGTGTGACCTTGGGCAACTGACTTGACTTCTCCGAACCTCAGAGAAGTAGCATATATGGAAGTGTCCACCTGAAGGCTATGAACAATGCAAGGACTCCAGGGAGTCCCTCCCCAGGGAGATGTTTTAACATCTACCTGTGTGCCTAGGTCACATCTCTGTCAGATAGGAAACCCTGAAGCTGGAGGAAAATTCCACTGGGCACTGTTGCAATCTTTAAACTGCCTGTTAGGTGTCCCAGGGGCAGTTGGGGACTTTGTCTCAGCCCCCAGAGGGAATCACGCTCTAGAATTTGGTGCATACTGTCACAGAGCTCACCAGTGGCTCAGCGGACCTCCTTCATGTCCAGCACACACGGATCTCCCAGTCCTTCCTCGGTGGCTGCTTCTTCTCCTCTGCCAAATGGCTGTCTGACATCAGTTCCTTCCCCATTCAAGTGCCATGGTGTTGGCATCTCCCCCAAGCCTGTGGGGTGCACAAGCCCATGCTCCCCTTGCCTTTCATAGCCATGGCTCAGGGGTGAGCCCCAGCTCCTCATAGCCAGAGAAGCTGTCACCAAGCAACTTCTCATCAAGCATCATGGTGGGGCTCCCTTCCCCCCCCAGACTTGGACCTGAGTGTTTATGGCACCACAGGGAGAGTCCTCTTGTAACCTCAGGGAATAGCCGACCTGAGAAGGCAGCACAAGAGAAAGCATCCTTGTGACAGAGTATGGCTTCTGGATCAAGCCACACCTGAACCCTCCTGGACTTGTGGCTACATGAGTCAGTAAGTCTCTCCTCGCCTCCTCCCTCCCCCTAGTACTGGGGATCAAACCCAGGGCCTGTGCACGCCGAGCTAGCGCTCTGACACTGAATCACGTCCCCAGCCCTCTCCCCTTGTCTTAAAGAAGCCCAAATCAGGCTGCCCTGTTGTTCATAGTCAAAAAAGACTTGACTGATAAACACATTTTCTGGCATTAAGGCCTTGATAAAATTAAGCAAATGAATAGAGTGAAGGCTGCTTGAATTTTCAGTGATTCTGAGCACAAGGATCCGGACATCAAGATCTCCTCAGCCCCTGGAACACCCCTGTCCCGCTTCAAATCCTGTGGGAAAAGGCACTTTAAGATTAGGGACAGTGGGGTTTAAAACCCCCGGCCTCTCCAGTTACTGTCCAGCTGTGTGACCTTGAACACATCCTCAGACCTCTCTGAGATTCTATTTGTTCAAAGTGAGATCATGTGTATAAAGCACCAGGTACACAGTAGGTGTTCAATAAATGTACCTCTAGATTCACTTAATTACAAGGATGTCAAGAAGACAGGGGAAGGAGATCCTGTTTTCCAAGGATTCACTTATGGTGGATGTTACTCCCAATCTTCTACCAGTCTGATGGAAGAAGCAGGATAGTTTGGTAGAAAGGAGCAATCACTCTAGGGTCAATGAGGCCTGGGTTTAAGACCTACCTCTGCTCTGTGACCTTAGGCAAATTGCTAACTTCTCTGAGCCTTATTCTTTCATGATTAAAATGGAAAAGGCATTGGCCTACTTCTTGAGAGGGCATAGAATGAAACTGGGATGCTGTGATACCCAACACAGTGATCAACAAACAAGTGTGATTATTTCCCCAGGCCCCAGTCAGGGGTCTTCCTCAAGGAATGGTCCTTAAGACTGCTGCCTTCCCTCCTCCCCAAACTCAGTCATGATGGTTATCGAGGGAGGAGCGCAGCCTCCTTCCCACACAGCCTCAGCATGGAACCAGGCCTCCTCAGCCCACTACACAAACTGGACTCCAGCATTGACCATGACGGTGACCCAAGATTCTTTTTAAGTTTAGGGATGACTTCAACAACTGGTCCCCTCTGACAACCAGCAAAGCCCTGTGCCCAGCCCTGACCTCACTCCAGAGTTGAGACCTCCTGGGCACCTCCACCAGGATGTCTCCTAGGTGACCCAAACCCAGCACAAGATCTTGGCTCCCCAACACTCTCAGTGGGATTTGGGTCAGTCACCTTGACCTTGGTCTGTAGGTTGTAGCAGGCTGTAGCTGATGGCTATAAAGGTTGTCCCAGCCCTAAGATCCTAAGATTCTCAGCTCCTGTGTCCTCTCCCTGGGCTTACCACCTCCTTTAACAGCTCTGCCCTGCTCCCATGAACTGGGCTGGAAAACGTAGTCACCTATAAGTGGTCCGTAAGTTTACTCTATCTGCACGCTCCTCCCAGCTGTCTGTCCATCTCCAGCCAGCATCCTCCTTCCAGCCCACCTCTGCTCTTTCTACCCACAAGGCTGATGGTTATCGAGGGAGGAGTGCAGCCTCCTTCCCACACAGCCTCAGCATGGAACCAGGCCTCCTCAGCCCACTACACAAACTGGACTCCAGCATTGACCATAACAGTGACCCAAGATTCTTTTTAAGTTTAGGGATGAGAAGAGGACCATTTCATGGTATTCATATAAGATACTCAATAAATATGTTTAAATATTCATCCATTCATTCATTCATTCATTCATGCTTTTCAAACTCTACCCTTTGGACAATGCTCTCCAATTCATGACAGACATCAGAGGCCCCTTTGCAAATCATTACAGCGATGGCCTTTGTACCATACAAATACACCTGTACATGACATTGTGATACAATTTCAGGGAGCCATAGCCCCCTCGAACTCATCTATAGTATGCAACTTGTCCCAGATGGAGTGCATGGTACATGAGAGACTCACTTAGAGGAAGGGCATCTCTTTCTACTGGATTGTCGCATGAAAAGAGCCAGTCCCACTCCCTGCTACAGCTCCACAGCTGGGAGCAGCAGGGCCCTCAGTGTCCTGCATCCCACATCTGGTTCTCCTCTTCTGGGCCGGAGAAGACAAAGTGCTCGGGAAGCTAACCCAGCCCCTTCACGTGGCGCAATTCCCATTCTGTTCTTCCCTTTGCCTTTCTCCTTCTTCTCTTGCCAACTTTGGAGGAAGGAAAGCTTGCTGCCGCACTATGTAGTGATGGAAGGCTTCGTGGAAGAGGTGAGCCCTGCCTGGGCCTCAGTGCTGTGTGCTGGAGAGAGGCAGGGGCCAGGGGTTATTAATAGGCCTGGCTCAGTGGGCCCGGGGGATGAATGTGATACAGACACCCAGCACCATGGTTGGGGACTACCTGACACCGGAAGGGGAGGGGGCCGGGGGCTGGGGGGAACACCACCTCCCAAAATAGCCAGGGCCCAAGACTATTTAAGTGGGTATCCCACCACCAGGCTCACTTCCCCACAAGATTCCCACCAGCCCAGCTTTTCCATAGACTCCAGCCCTCTGCCCCGCCCAAGGTGAGTGACAGCTTCTGAGGTTAGAAGAGGATGGAGGGATAAGGTGATTGAGGCCAGCTGGAAGGGAAAGTCACATCTCCCCTTCTCCCCAGTGACTACAGCAGGGCAGCAGCAGGGCCCAAGGCTTAGGGAATGAACCCAGAGTTCTCTACCTGCTTCCTGGGTGACCTGAGCCAATCCCTGTTCCTGACTCAAGTCCCCATCTCTAGAATGTAAGGGGTGGAGCCAGGCACCTGTAGATTATAGTGATGCCATCAGGGGGAACCCAGAGGTCAAGGGCAGGAGGAGGGGGCATGAAAGGCTGATGGACTGATTTGGTGACACTGTCTGATGCTCGGCCAAGCAGAGTCAAACCCAGGGTGGCTGGAAAGCTGATGGGGACTTCAGCAGCAGGGAGATGGAGGAAGGAGGGGGCAGAAGAGGGTTCCCTGCTGAGGAGCCAGGTTTTGCCCCAGGAACAGTGTCTGGGGACTGTCCAGGAGCTGGTTTGTGGTTCATATGCAAGGGATATGATAGGACTGGGTTCTGAGTGCCAGGGAGGGTTACCAGGGGGTCACTGGACTCCAAAGTAGTAGACCTGGAAGGGCTCTACCATTGCCTCACTATGTATCCTGAGGCCACTTACAGACTCTCTTCAGCCTCAGTTTCCCCACCTGTAGAGAATAAGAATCTGTCATCTAGAGAAATAGATGCTCCAATAGGCCCAAGGAGTGAGCGTGCAGGAGAGCTGAATCACAGCAGAGAGGCACGCCTGCCCGAGTCAGCAGCCCAGCTGGAGAAGGAGCAGAGGTAGAGGTGGCCACAGCCAGGACCTGGGGGGCCAGGGCTGGGGGTCCAGGAAGTCCTCGCCCCCAGAGATATCAGTTTAGGAGTTGCACCCTCCTTGGAAGCCAGCTGGCCTGTGATGGCCTGAAGAAGCTGACTCACCAGGAGGGGGCAGCTGGAGCCAGCCACTGCTAAGGTTTCCAGGAAGGGCATCCATCCAGGGCCCAGCTGGGGGAGACAGTGTTGACAGCGAGTGTCAGAGAACTTGAGCTACTGGACAGCTGGGCAGCTGTCTCTGGTCCCCACCACCAAGGGCCACCATAGTCCCAGCCTCTGTCCAGCTACCTTAAGTTGGAGTTTCAAGGTTCAGCTACAGGGGACCACCCACACCTCCAACACAACAGAGGGTGACAGAGGCCCAGAGATGAAAAAGGTCACAGCCCAAGGTCACTTGGGGACTTAGTGCAGTCCTAGAACTAGAACCCAGGCCTCCTGACTCCCTGTCCAGTGCTCACACATCCCAAGGCCAGGTGGTCACAGCCAGTGTCTGGAAGACCTTGGAGATGTGGCTGGTCTCTGGCTGCATGAAGGTAGGCAGTGTCACATTTCCCCAGAGATAGCATTTAGTCCACAAACCCCTACCACTGCCTCACTATGTATGTGTGGTCTGAGGTGGCACCCCTCCCCCACCCTAATACACCCCAGCCTCCTGGGAGGATGCACAGATGTTCCAGTGGCCTATAGCACTTGGCCTCTCAGAGAGGTTCCTGTGGGTAGGGGCAGCTGCAGAGTATCAGTGACAGACTTGCTCATTGCTGAGGACATCAAGAGGGAGTGTTGGCCCCAGATTTGATGGCTCTGAAGACCAAGAAGTTAGTGAGGATCTGAGAAAGTCTTTGAAGAGTCAGGCTAGCATCCTGTCCCCACCAAAATAAAAAACCAATATCAAATCAGGTTTCAGAATGGGCAGTCCTGGTCAGATGTGGCAGGGGGGACACACAGCCTCAGCAGCTCCCTACTGTGCCTGTCCCAGCCACCCTCTCCCTGGGTCCTGAGGGTCAGGTTTCCGTTTTCATGACCTCAGCACAGAGATTTTGCCGCATAAATTTTCATCCAGGGCAGATGGGAGAGAGACTATGGGAAGGAGTGGATAGGTACAAGGCCGAGGGGTCCACGGCTTGTTCCCTGTGTGTTTGGTGTCTTTTCCTAAGGGATAGGACATCCTCCCAGGTGCCCAGATTAGAGACCCAGTGCCTTCTGCGTGTGCCCTTGACTGTAGACGATCTCTCCAGGCTGGGCGGGTGGCTCCAGCGCCCCCTAAATTCCAGAAGTGGCCCCTGCTCCTAACGCCCTGTCTGCAGCCCCCGGATGCTGAGGACCCCCGGCTGGGCGCGGCGAGGAGCGGGGTGGCGCCCGTGCTGCTCGGTGGCACGGCGGGACTGTGCCGCTCCGGCTGCGCGCAGAGCCCGGCGCCCCCTGGCGCGGTGCCAGCCCGGGCGGGCGTGCGCCTGGCGCGCAACACTGCAGCGCTGGTCATATGAGCAGAAATGATGAGAAAAGCACTTTTTAATCTTTTCGCACTTGCTCTGCCCGCTCAAACAGTTGCAGGATGTCGATGACAGAGTTGCTCAACGCTGAGGATATCAAGCAGGCAATAGGCGCCTTTGCCGGTGAGCAGCGCGCTCCCCTCCTCATCCCTTTCCCTCCTCATCCCTTTCCCCTCATCCACCACCTTCGCCCCGGCACGCGGTCAGTCCTCCCCACCTTTCTTCTGCCCACGCATCCCGCGGGGTGCTGGCGGGGTCCGGGCAGGGGTGGTCATCAGCCTTTCAGGGAGCTGCGGGGAGGCGGACTGCCCCAGACACAGAAACTTGAGGGCTCGGAAGGGTGGCTGCGCTAGGAGGATTCAGGGTCCGGACCGAGGGCTGTGACCATGGTCGGAGGAAGGGACCCCCAGGGTTCTTGGGCGCGCTTGGGACTTCCCCTTTAAGACAAGTGGAGGGGGCTGCAGGTGTACACATGTGCTCTCCAAGAGAACCCTTTCCTTGACCCCATTGTGGACAAGACTTTTCCTGAAAAGCGGTGGCCCATTGTTGAACCCCCAACTGTATGAGCTTCCCTCCAGGGGTTCAAATCCCCTCACCTCCGACAGACCTGAAGGCCCAGTGACCTTTTAGCAGCAGGCATTGAGTTCTCTCCAGTCCTGCCCATCTCTGCCTGAGTGCCCCCAGTTTCAGCTCCCTTAGGTGGGCCAAGGAAGGTGAGCCCACCTGGCTGTCTCACCTCTCCACACTGCCTGTTAGGGACCTTAAACTTAGTTGCTGCCTTCCCACTCCCCTGTCACCCAGATAGGGAAGCTGAGGCTGCGAGAGAATGAGAGACTTGTCCAAGGTCATCTAGTCTGGCAGAAGAGGGACTAGAACTGGGGTGGCAGGCAAATCTCAGTCCTGCTGTCATGTCAGAGGTGGAAAGGGCAACTTTCCTTCCCTGTAGCTCTGGGCAGAGGGGAGAACCGGACTCTTAGACACACATCCACACCCACACATTCTAGCTCTCTCTCCCTCTCTCTCTCTCTCTCACACACACACACATACACACACACACTCACACACACTCAAGGTACACTGTCTAGTGTTGTGCCTGGTCCGGGGTGTTCTGAAAAAAAAGCCCAAGACATAGGAAATTGGGCAGAGGAGGGGGCACCCATTTTCTTTTTACTTGGCACCTTTCTCCTGCATGAGAAGCTCTGGGAAGTCACCCTCTGAGGGCAGTGTGACAGCCCAGCCACTTTTCCTACAACTATCACATCACTTCTGAGAAAAAACTTAAAGGGGCATTCCTCAGAGTCTACACACACACACACACACACACACACGCACACACACACTCACACAGACTCACACACACTGCCACCAAGATGGGTTTCTGCAGCAATGCCAAGACTTCTGGGCCCTCCCTCCTCCTCCCACTCCATGACCTTGACAGAAACTTGTCCTCTCAGTGTTGATTTTCTGACAACACAGCCTGGGGCCAAGGAAGAAGGCCACCCTACCCCCACCCCAATATACACATGCCATATTCATACCACCTTCAATTCCTGCCCCTCCACCCCCCAGCCACCATCTGAAGGGCTTCATGGAAACAAGGGTCTCGGGAGAATCTCTGTTAGGTTTCCCCATACTCCCCCCACCACTGGCAAGAAGTGTAGTGGGGTGAGGTGAGAGCCAGGGGGCTGGGTGTCAGCCCACCTCTTCCACTTCTAGTGTGTGACCTTGGACAGAACATCCTACCCTAGCCTTGGCTCCCTGAGTCCCCCCAGGAGGAGGGACATCCTTTCAAGATGGGCATGCAGGAGTCAATTAATGAACTCCAGGACCCCACATCCTCCCACGCTCCTTTGCTGCCCCTTTTCATCTTTTTAACCCGCCTCCCCTCCCCCACAGCTACTGACTCATTTGACCACAAAAGGTTCTTCCAAATGGTTGGGCTGAAGAAGAAGAGTGCAGACGATGTGAAGAAAGTTTTCCATATCCTGGACAAAGACAAGAGTGGCTTCATTGAGGAAGATGAGCTGGGGTAAACTGAGGCCTGTGGGGTGGTGAGGCCTGGGAGGGGGTGGGGCTTGGTGCCCTTGTTTGTAAGTCCCCCTCTGAGCCACCCTTCTCTCTGCACCCCTCACAGCAAACAGGCATGCATGCCCGCTGGGTGCTGACCCGACTCAGGATGCCAGGGGAAAATGCCTCTCAGTGTCACTGCTTCCCAGAGAGTCGAACCATCAGCTCAAAGTGCAACTAACTAGGTTAAATTATAGCCACTTAATATTGCTAATGGAGTGGTGCTACTTAATAATTTAATACAAATGAAGAGACATTTGTTCCAGCTGTCTCACACCACAGGCAAGGCGGAAGGCGTTCTTGTTTAGTCCTCATTGATTTTCATGTGTCTCAAAGTCACCTTCACCACTCTGCAGACCCCCACCTCTTCTGGACCAAAACTGTCACTAGAGCAATTTCTGGGCAAGCCAGGGATGCAGAGCTGGCTCTGGGGTCCAGGATCCTTGGAACAAAGCAGAGAGGAGATGGCTATGAGTAGGACAATGCAAAGCCGTGTCAGCAGAGAGCCCTCCCACCATAACCTCTGCCACCTGGTCTGCGTGTGTCAGCCCAGTGTGCCTTATGTCACTTACTGACCAAGACTGCCTTGAATTTTGTCACAAAAAAAAAAGAAGGGGGAGGGTTTGGAGAGAGGAGTTTTAAGTAGGAATTTTCCACACCTAATCTCTTTCCCAAAACATCTCACAAGGGTACCTCTGTCTAGAACTTTCTCCTACCTACCCTCGCCCAGTGTGTACATGCAGATGCATAGGTGCACACACAGGCTGTCTGCCCACTGTCCTCCAGGCATCTCCTGCTCCAGGAAGCCTCTGGACCCTCCCTCGTCCTCTTTGCTTCCTCCATCATTCCAGAGCACTTAACCTACGCCTCATTTATCTGGGTGGCTTCCTAAGATCACCACAGTGCCCCAGTTTCCAGCATAACCCTGACACAAAGAAGACTCTTGGTAGATGTTTGTTGAATACATAAACAAACGCAGGTGCCCTCCCTGGAATGGGGTCAGTTCTTAGCTGGAGGCAGCTGTCCTGTCCCACACTTGAAGCCAGAGACCAGGCTAACTGGCTGTCCCAGTGCAGGTGCCAGCCATCCCGCCATCTGCATGGTGTTCCTGCAAGGTGACCTTCGCCTGACTCCCTCCCCGCTTTCTTTCTCCAGGTTCATCCTGAAGGGCTTCTCTGCAGATGCCAGAGACCTGTCTGTTAAAGAAACCAAAACGCTGCTGGCCGCTGGGGACAAGGATGGGGATGGCAAAATTGGAGTTGATGGTGGGTAGCTATGACCTGAGTTTGGGGCACATTGTGGATTCTGGGATGTCTAGATGCTAAAAGTTTGTAGATACATCTGTCACAAGGAAGGAGAGATTCAGAAAAAAGGCAATCCTTTGGGTTTGAGAGCTCTGTCACACAGCCAGGCAACACAATTTTCTGTTTTCCTAAATTTGAACAACCAGAAAGGAGTGGATATCCCGCCCCCCCCCCCGCCCCTGCTTTCCCTACTGGGCAGGGAATCCAGGAGAAATTGAAATTTCTCCTGCACTTTGCCTAGGTTCTGGCCCAGGCTTTGACTATGCTGGCTGTGTGACCTTGGGAAGTCTGTCTCCTTCTCTGGGACTGAGGCTCCCATCTGTAACTGGAGGAAATGAGGCCCATGGATCCCCAAGGACCCTCACGGTCTCGGATTCCAGGGGTGGAAATTTCTTATCTCCTGTCCTCACCAGCATCTTATCCTGGTGTCCTATAACCTCAGAATGGCTTTCCGATTCACTCAAATACACCATTCCAGTGTTGTAGCAGAGCCAGGAAAAACAGCTGGGAAGTAGGAAGTTTGCTTCTCAAGTTTTGCTGTGAGCACCAGTGAGGGGCTGGAGGTCCACCTTCCCTCACACTTGTCATTCACCTGCTTAGCTTTGGTGGGGCGCATCACGACATTTTGCAGTTGGGTAAACGAGCAGTGAAGACGCTGGCCATTTAAAGAGCTAAGACCTGGTAGCAGGAGCAGGGATTTAGAGCCCGGTCTGATGAGGCCATCCCACCATGGACCTCTCTGCCAACGTGAGAGAAAATAGTATATAGGCACATCTGGTCAAATCCCAGCCTTTCTAGCTGTGTGACCTTGGGGAATTCATATAACTACTCTGGGACTCAGTTTTCTCACCTCTGAACTGAGGCTTAAAGATGGCTAATGGAAAGAGCTTAGAACAGGGTCAGGGGAAGAGCAGGTGCCATCTGCGTGTTTGTGGACTCAGTTAAAACAAAACAGGGCCTAGATGGCTCTCATACTTTTGTCCCCAATATCTAGCCAACACCTGACACCAAGCACCTGTTGCCTGAAGATAAAGCCCATACCCAGTGCTCTGCTTCCTCTCCACCCCTCACCACCTGTGACCTTGAACACATCACCTGTCCACACCTGGGCTCCCTTGCCTGGCACATGGGTGCACGAGCTTATCTGAGGACCAGCTTGGGCTCTTATGGATATTAAGTGGCTATAGACACAAAATTGCGTTAGGGCAAATACAAGGATTCTGAAAGTGGGTTTTGAGAAACAAGACTTTCTCAAAATGAGAAACTAGAATGAAGAGTCTTTCTCAAGGTCAGGTACAGAGGGTGCCCAGCCACTGACCCCAGCTGCCCTTCTTGTGGCAGGGAAGAAGGGTTGTGGCTTTCACGGGGCCAGAACGAGGCTGATGAGAGGCACTCTTGGGGGCTTGACTCTTGATGACTCTGGTAATTGGCAGCTTCCCCCCTCACCCGCCATCCTCACTAGCTTTACCCCGAGCCTTGGCTCCCACCAGGACCCCAACCCAGGCCTCCAGACTCACCTCCCATTTTCATTTGCAGTCAATAAACCTCAGCTCAGAGGCTCTGGGGAGGGTCTTTGAGGTTGGCTGCTGGCAGACAATCTAAATGATGAAAAACCAGCCCCCTGGCCTGGTTCCCTGCCTCTATCTCTCCCTCCTTGAAGAGCCAAATAAACACTCTTCCAACAAAACCAACAGGCAGTACTAAGTAGCAACCTAGTGCCTCACATTGGAGAAGGTAAGGGTAAACTAGACCCAACTTGCAGCACTGCCATTTCCTGGCTGGGTGCCCCGTGCAGTGGTTCCATAACCCTAAGTCCCAGCTTCTTCACCTACAAACTGCCCATTAAACCACGGTAGTGTTGAGCACCCAGCATTTATTTAGTAAGTGCTTGATAAGCATCTGCTGAGATACTTTTTAATTTTACCTGCAGATTGGTTAGGGCTGTCGGTGTATATCTACACAAAGGAGTCTCCCTTATCTGAGATGCTTGGGAGCAGAAGTGTGTCAGTTCCTCAGATTTTCAGGTTTGGGAGTATTATTTGTGTCTTGTCATGTTGGCCCTCAGAAAACTTCAGATTTTGGTTCTTTGGATGAGGTGGTACCAGGCAAAGGAGAGAGGCACACTTGGTACAGACTTAGAGACCATGGGTTGGGGCTTGGGGTCCGGGGCACAGGCAGAGCTAGGCAAGGCACTGATGACACAGAGAAGGCACTAAGGCAGGAACGGCTAGAACGTGTTTAGAAAGGAATAGAAGACTGGTTTGCCAGGAGTGGGAGAGAAGAATTATCACGTGGGCATGCAATGTGTGCCCAGGACAGTGCTGGGGTCGACAGAGGTCACCATCTTGGGATGACAGAGGACAGGAGCAGATGCAGAAGGGGCAGCTCACAGAGTCCAGGGTCACGTGGATAGCAAGTACGAGAGCCAGAATTCAACGCCAGTCTGTCTTATAGCACAGTCCAGCCCAGGCCAGTCTGTGCAGCTGCACAGGAGCACAAGGCCAGAGCAAAAGACGAGTGAGCAGCGAGTATAGATCGCACTAGGCAGTGGGCCCCATCTCCGTGCTTTCCAAGTGGAGAGATGCAGACATCCCTCCCTCATTTCTATCCCCGCCACATGAGAAGGTGGCATGGTAACGCCCCGCAGGAGTGGGCCAGGAGGCAGAGTCCCCCCAGGGGCCCAGGTAGTTCTGTTGCCAGAGGGTCCAATCCCCTGACACATGCACACCTTCCAGCTGGAAGATGCTTTCTACTGCTGCAGAATGGGCAAGTTCACGCAGCACTCTGGCCTTTAGGTGCTTGGTCTTTACAGCCAGGATCGGTCACTTAGCGGCTTGCTGGGGTCCCTTCCGGCTCTGGTATCCCACCAGTACATAATACTTGGCATTGAGGACCATGAATCTGGACTTGGCTCAGCTGTTGTGGCCTTGAATAATGGTAGCAGTGATGTCTAACTTCATGAGGTACTAAATGGGTGCCAGGCACTGAGCTATCTTTGAGGGGGACAGTGTTACGATTCCCATTTTATAGACGGGGACACTGAGGCTCAGAGAGGCTTAGGATTTGTCTAATTTCCCATGGCTAAGAACAGACGATGAAGACCTCAGTTCAGGTCTAGCAGCTCAAAGCACGTGCCCTGTGATGCTTGCATCATCCATTCAGTGGACGTTCAGTGAACATCTATGTAAGGCGATTTTTTTTCCTTTTGACTTATTGCTTGCATGTTGGTTCCACAGAGCAGGAACTTTATTTTCTTTGCTTCTGACCCCAGTACCTAGAAATGAGCCTGGCACATAGTGGGTACACAAGAAAAGTTTGTTTAGTGAATGAATGAATGAATGAATGAGTACACACCCAGTCCCAGTGTGGAGCGAGGAGGAAGAGGCCAAGGCTGGAGGCTGCAGGCTGGCTGGGGGCTCATAGCCACAGGTGCTGGGGAAGCTCAGAGCCCTGGATGGCTACTGGTCCAGCTCTGTCTATTTGTCCTCCTTAGGAAAGTGCTATTTACCAAGTTCTTTAAGATCCCAAATTGCAGGGAGGATGAGATGAAGGCAAAGCTCTAATAATAACCCTTTACATTCTCATCTCTGGGCAACTACTTCCAGGAATCTCAAAGACTTTTATAGAAGTGATCGATTGATTCTCAACAGCCACCCTGAAAGGCTGGCACCAAGCTAGTTGAGGGGAGGTTCAGGCAATGAAGGAGAGGGAAGCTGGCAGGGGTGGAAGGGCCCTGTCCCAGCGAAAAGGCCAAGCACGAATGCAGGAGGATGTATGATGCCGCAAGCACCTACTCCAGCGCTGCCCAGCACCACTGTGGATCTCAGCCTCGGTATCAGAACCACTGAGGGCTTTTCACAACATGGATGGCCATGGGCCCTGTGACTCCCATCCCAGAGTTTCTCTTTCCTTAGGTGGGGACGAGTGTTTTCATTTCGAACAGTTACCAGGTGGTGCCAATGGTCAATGGTCAATGGTCAATGGTCGGGGAACCACACTTGAAAACCAATGCTTTTCAGTTGTCCTAGGAGATAGAGCTATCATTTTCTCCATTTTACAAGTGAGGAAACTGAGGCACAGAGCAGTAAGGTAGTACCCAGGGTCCCTCAGTAGCAGAGCTGAGATTGAGTTGGGGGTCCTTCCAGGACCCTCTACTACCCCTCACTGGTACACATATCCCCAGTGCGGCTCCGTAAATACAATGCTTGCAATGCAAGGAACACACCAGTGACAGGATCTAAGGTTAGCATCCAATCCACTTTCTGTGTGCCAGGCCCTGCACACGGGTCTATTGCTTTCAGCTCATCCAACCCTAACAAGAGCTGCACAAAATATCTTTATTGCCTATACAAACAGGAAACAGGCACAGGGAACAGAGTGGCTTGCTAGGAAGCTTGGAGCCCATTTCAAACTCCATCTCCACCCAGCTATAGACACACACACACACACACACACACCACACACACACACAAGCATGCACTCATGCATGAAGTTCGAGTGGCACTTTCTCTGAAATCCCATCGTAGGACGGATCTGCTGTCCTGGGCTTTCAGCTTATTCCAATTCCAGAGCTGTGCTGTGCAGTTTACTCCTGTTGCTGATCAGGTGTGGTCAGTTATTGCCTGGGCAAAGCAGTCTACACCACTCCCGTGCCTGAAGGGATTTCCTTTCTGTTTCCTTCTGGCAAAATCTACTCTTTAATCTTTAGGTAGCCTATTTAAGGAGAGGTGGACGTGTTCATTAAGCCCTCGGGCTATGGCTGAGCACCTGACTTAGGCAGATGTTAGGGTACCAGCCCTGTGAATGGCCCCCAGTTTTCCTCCCTTAGGACGTTCATTCTCTCATCTGTAATGTTGGGATAAAATACACATCTCATAGATCTGTTGCTGGGATTAAGTGAATGTTCTAGAAATGATTCTTTCCTCTTAATTTATGTGAGTGTTTTTTGCTTGCAAGCTGCC